GGTGGACACTCCCAGCGCCGACGAGCCGTGGGGCACGACCGCGCCCAGCTGACCCCGGCGAGGGCTTCCCCCGCCGTGTCCCCCGCGGCGTCCCCCCTCCCCCCGCCGTGTCCCCCCGTGTCCCCCAGGGTGTCCCCCCGCCCCCGGCCGTCCGTGTCCCCCGCCGTGTCCCCCCGCGGCGTCCCCCTCCCCCCGCCGTGTCCCCCCCGTGTCCCCCAGGGTGTCCCCCCGCCCCCGGCCGCCGTCCGTGTCCCCCGCCGTGTCCCCCGCGGCCGGGCCGGGCCGCATCCCCGCGCGCCGCCGCTAGATGGCGCTGTGGCCGTTCCCGCCGGGGCCGGCGCTGCTCCCCCACATTCGCCGCCTGAATTACTGTAATTTTCCCCCAAAAGGGCTCCGAGAGCCATTTTAAACTATTCTTTAAATAATTGATACTTACAGATGAAAAGCCTGGCCTCGAATTTCCAAAGTGATCAAAGTTCTTTTAATTCCCCGGTGGTCACGGGGGAGGAGCGGCAGCGTCCCCGCGGGGGCTGGGGGCCGCTGCGGCGCCCCCGGGGCGCGGGACCCCCGGGCCTGGCCCCCCGGCCAGGCGAGACAAGAGCCCGCGAGGCCTGGGGTGCGCGGTCCGGCCCGTTCCCGCTCCCCTTCCCCGCTCCCTCTCCCCCCACAGGTCCCCCCACAGGTCCCCCCCACAGGTCCCCCCACAGGTCCCCCCACAGGTCACCCCACAGGTCACCCCCCCACAGGCCCCCCCCCACAGGACACCCCCCCACAGGACACCCCCCCACAGGTACCCCCCACAGGTCACCCCCCACAGGTCCCCCCGACAGGTCCCCCCACAGGTCCCCCCCACAGGTCACCCCACAGGTCACCCCCCACAGGCCCCCCCCACAGGACACCCCCCACAGGACACCCCCCCACAGGTACCCCCCACAGGTCACCCCCCACAGGTCCCCCCGACAGGTCCCCCCACAGGTCCCCCCCACAGGTCCCCCCCACAGGCCACCCCCCACAGGTCAACCCCCAGCTCTGGGGGCTCCGGGCGCGCGGGGCGGGGGCCAGGCCAGCGCCCCCCCAGCCGCCCCCCGCCCGCGGGCGCCCGAGCCCACGCGGGGCCGGGCCGGGGCGAACGACACCTCTGGAAGGACCCGGGGGGCCCCGCGCGCGGCTCGGGGAAGAGGAAACACGCGCGGGGCCCCGCAGGGGCTGCCCGCGGCCGCCCGCTCGGGGTCACGCGCCTCTGCAGGGCCTGGGAGGGCGCGGGGCGCAGAGCAAAGCCCCCCGGTCTTCTGGGGTCTCCGGGCGGGCGGGGGACAGCCGCGAGGAGCGCGGGGAGGGCGGGCCGGGCGTGTCCAGCCCCGGGGCCGCCGGCCCAGCGAGCGCGGGGGGCCCGGGACGCTCCCCTGCGTCAGAGCAGGGTGGGGGACCCCCGGACACGCAGAAGGGGCGACCCGGCCTCGCCCCGAGACGGAGGCGCCTCAGCGGAGGCCTGGCTCCCCGACTGCGCCCCCGGACTCCGTTGGGGGGGCGCGGGGGCCCTCGGACCGGGCGGGGCTCCGGACACGCGAGTCTCCTCCTAGCGGGGCGGGGGGGACGCGGGGGGGACGCGGGGGGGACTGGGGAGGACGCGGGGAGCACTCGGGGAGGACGCGGGAGGACTGGGGAGGACGGCGCCTCTCCGGGCTGCGGGGCCGCCCCTCCACGCAGAGCCCCCCCCACGTCTCCGGCCGCCCACAGCCCCCCCGAGGCCGCCGGGGCCTCCGCTGACCCCTGGCCGCGCCCCGAGGTGGCGGACGCGGGCGGAGGCTCCTCCGGGCCGCGAGGGAAGCCTCTGTCCCTGCGGGCGGTGGCCAGGGAGGCTGCGCGGCCGCGCGGCGGGCGGCGACGGTGCCCAGGGAAATGTTTCCATCTCTGTCTGGGGGCGTCTGGTTTGCAGGAGCCGTCGATGACCCGAGGGGCCATTTTGTCAATAAGGTGAACAGAAGCACCTGTCAGTGTCGCTCCCGCCCAGCACTGACTGGGATGGAAAGTCTGATCCTTTTTTGAATGCATTTTCTTTATTTATGCATGCAAGAGCTGGGGTGCAGGCCAGAGGTGCAGGGGTGAGAGAGGACTCCCCAGAGACAGAGCGGGGAGCAGAACAGGTGGATCCACTGAAATCCACGGCTGAGGGGAGCAGCGGGGAGACGGGAGGGGTCTGCTGCGCCCTGTGGGCAGCTCCCTGGCCGGGGACTGAACCCGCGCTGCAGGGGCTGCGGACAGCTTGATGGTGCTGGGACTTTAACCCTTTCCACCCTCAGGGAGGCCCCAAATGTAGTCTCCTTTGACCCCGCTTTTGTAACCACACTCAAAGGGCCTCCGCTGGTGTCTGAGGGGGAGCGCGTAATCCACCAGGAGTCAGGTCCTGGAGACAAGAAAAGGAGAGAGTGAGATGAAGGGGTGCACAGAAACAGCTTGTGGGGGGCAGTGAGGTGAGGTTACGAGGTGTTAGAGGAACAGCAAGGAGCAAATATCCAGCCAGGGAATGACGCCCTGAACAAGTTCCACCCTCTCCCACGCCAGCAAGCTGGCAGCACCAAGACCACAACCCCAGCGTGCTGCGGACCTGACTCCCGAAGAGACGCACCGGGAGCGAGGGCCAGAGGAGGCAGCCGCGCTTGGCTTAGAACCAGGACACACGTGGGATCACCTGCTTTTCTGGCTTTGACTTGGACCCTGGTGGCAGGATTCTGACTTACGGGCTAGTGGGTTGTGCCCGATGGGCTACATGGGGATATGAAAGAGCCAGTCCTTGCTTTGTTTTGCGGTGGTTTAGCTGATCGCCTGACATGCTCACTACCCCTGCTGTCAGCTTACTCAACAACAAGAGGGGTTTCCTTCTCTACAAATTTTGTGACACACTCTGCATTGGAAGAAGATTTTGTTTTCAATGATATTTCCCAAATAGTGTTTCCCCAGAATTCAAATTTGATTTCTTAACTTTGAATTTTTTTTTAAAGATGTATTTATTGATGCATACAAGAGCTGGGGTACAGGCCAGAGATGTGGGGTGTGAGAGGATTCACCAGAGACAGAGTGGGGAACAGAACAGGCAGATTGACTGAAACACACTGCTGAGGGGAGCAGCGGGGAGACAGGAGAGGTCTGCTGCGCCATGTGGGTTGCTCCCTGGCCAGCCAGGGGTTTGAACTCATGCTGCAGAGGCTGCGGATTGCTTCACAGTGTGGTGCTGAACCCCTTGCACCACCAGGGAGGCCCCTACTTTGAATTTTCTTCCTACCAAACTCAATTCAACCTTAACTATTGTTCTGGGCAACAATGAGATTCCTGTACTAGTCATCAGTTCCTGTTGATATAGTTGCATTTATCTTCATGACCCTTAAGTGTTCTTTGTAGCACGACTCTTTCAAATAAAACCAAGCAAGAAAAAAGAAGAAAACTAATAGGGAAAATTTAATTAATTTTAAAATAAGGAAATCAACCTTGTAGATGAGATGAAATCCACACAGTTGTGCATGAAATGGTTTGGGCAATAAAAATACCTTTGTCTGGCAACGGTTGCAAGTGAAAGTGTTAGAAAGAAGTGTAAAACTAAGCAAATGCTAGTTAGAATTCTGTCGTTCCATTTGTGAAGGAAACGGATTTATCATTAGAAAGGATTGATGCACATGCCTTATTAAAATAGACGTCTTTTCAATGAAAAATGAGGAGACCGAGGTTCTGGATTTCCTTTGGAAGTAAACACATCAGAACAATCATTCGTGGTGAGATTCTGTATATTTAAAAGGATCTTTCTTTTAAGTACCCTTGAAGTTATTCTTTGTTCAATCATTTTCTTTAGACCTTTCTCCATCTGCCATCATCACACGCATGTGTGAGTGAGAAAACCTGTTCTGTGAAATGACACTTTAATAATTATTTTTAAATCAAGTGTCTGCATAGAAGGTTATATTTCTTCAATTTTACAAGTTTTTCTTAAAGGTCACTAAAATGCAAAAATGTATTTTCCTTTATAAATGATAATGTTTCCACCTTTTAAAAACATGGATTTTCTTGCTATGCTAAATAGACGTAGGGTAACAACCACAAAACACCCACAATGATGTGCCAAGTACTATCATTCTTGCTGTGTTTTTGTCTTAAGGCTCTATACAGGCATAAACTAAAACCCACCGACCCGCCCCTAGTTCCTTAATAGAATTGGGAATTCAATCTTAAAGCTTAGATTTGATTCTTCAAGGAGAGGGAGTGGAGAGAAGAGCATCAAAACGTGCATATTCTTCACACCTGAGCTCTCCGAGAGGCGGGACTTGGCGCCATCAGGTGTTGAAGGTTAGACTGTGCGTCACTCAAAAGGCGATTTTCCTGGGCCTGGCAATAACATCCTAGACCAGCCCACGACCCCAAAGTCACGTGCTATTATCCACCTGTCTCCAGGAGAGACGCTGTTTTATAAAAATCTCTAAGGTTAAAGGAAGAAACTCAACTCGAATTAAACAACTTTTACCTCCTTTTGAGGATTGGCATGTGGCAAACTTTCTGCACTTATTTTGACTGGAATATTTTATGACAAATCAATTGTGAAATTCATTATTTTTTAGAGTGATATGGAAGCGATGACTTGCAGTATGTTTTCCTCATGCAATCAAATTTCACTGATCTCCTTGGCGTTCTAAATAGTGTGCCGGTGTATTTGGATGCGGGAGAAAAGATGGTCACGTTCGACCACTGAAAATAAAACCCTTTCACCGCTCAAATTCCTTACCCTGGTGTCTTCGATTGTCAGACACCGCGCTGCTAGCATGTTGAGGAGTGAAAACCCGGAGGTGGAAAGATTCTGGGAAACTTTCATTTGTTTCTTCCTCCATTGGGAACGACATTATCTCAGACACGTGAGCGCCATGCCCAGAAATAACAATCTGCTCCAATGGGGGGTCACTCTGAGGCTGAGGGGAGCCACGTAACCCAATCTGTACTTTTATTTTTCATTTTTCTCTCAGGTGGAGTGGAGTTTGCAGAACGCCTCTTGCTGCAGCCGGAGACTTACTGAAGCCGGGCCTCGCGGTGTGACATTCCCGCTGGAAGAAATGAATTCTCTTAAGTTCTAAGATCTTAGTCCATCGAAGGTAAATACACTTGATTTGTGTGTCAAAGCACATTTGATTTTGAAGTACTATCTTGATTTCTACTCGTATTTAGGCAAGTAGATTGCATTCCTAGGGAAGTCATTTAAATTTGTTTGGGTATTTTTTCTTAGTCTGTTTGGAAAGGAATAAAAGAAGTGATATTCATGCTTGGCTAGCTAATTAATTTTTTTTTTCATAAAACTAAGTATACTCCAGTGCTTCGATGTTTATTTTGAAATTCTCTGAGTTAAGATATTCTTTGGGAACAAAGTATCTTTTCACTTAATGAGTTTGATCTACATATTTAATAACTAGTACTTTTACATGCATAATTGCATCTTATAGTTATTTTATTCTTCTTCTTACCCGAATGCCTACACAAACTGATGGTAAAATCACTTCTTTCTGTAATATATTCAACTAGGCTTTATGTTTTCATCTCACGAAGGCCAATTTGGTTTTATATGTCATCAACATGCCATAAATGGTGAAATAATTGTTTATTTAGGGCTAACTAGCTTAATTTCACAGCAGCCATAGCAAAATAAAAGGGAATTGGATTAATAAAAATAAAAAAAATGATCCTCCATTTCATGTGCTGTGAGCCCCAAAGAGCCGCTGCAGGGGCGGGTGGGCGCTGGGGCTGGCTTGTGAGTTGGCTCATTCCTCCAGTGCTCACTGGGAAAAGTTTTCGATCGTTTTTTTGAAGTTGACTTTCTTGCTGTGTATCTAAAATAACAATTGGTGGTTGGTGGTGAGGCTGGCCAGGGTTTGGAGTAATCCAACACGACTTGGTCCTTTCCCAAGGCTGGGTGGGGAAGGACCCTCTCCGCAGGCGTTGTCTGGACAGGGACTGGCCAGGGGTGCGCGAGGGGGTGCTGGCAGCTTCCAGTAAATAAGGAAGAGCTGCTGACAACCCTGCTCAGGAGGAAAGACAGGCAGCAGGGCCTTGGAAACGCCTCACTATTCTGATATCTGAAACTGGCATAGATTTTTAAATATCTGCATGAATATAAACACTGCAGTATTGATGTTCATATCTGAATCACAGATGCATCCCACACCCAATATTTGCATCGTGATTTCACTATTACCCTTGCAGTTTACATTATTCATTTTAGAGGTCACTGACTGTGCATAGTTAGATATTTTTATAGCTTCCAATCTGCGGTGGTGAAGGCACATGTATATAAGAAAAAACTTCCTACCTTCCTGGCGCACACGATGATACCTCATTTTTACCGAAAAATTGGGAAAAATTAGGTCAGAACTCACTTCTTTCGTGGCATTGTTTCATTAATTGCGTCACGGCCCTCCAGCGCTCCGCCCCCATCCAGTAGTCACAGTTCTGAGGTCCCAGAGTCAGAAGACCGCACGTCTGTGTTGAAAAGAACTTTTTAAAAGAACTTTCCACAAACCGATATGCTTTTTATAGTGTTTCCTTTGCTTTGAGTGGCTGCGCACACAGTCATTGCATATCTATTAATCTATTAAGATTTGATTACCGTGTGCGCGTCAGCCCTGTTGTGAGAATTACACAATACACAATATATGCATGCAGTTGACCTTAAAAATTTGACAAATTCTAAATGGTGAGGCACACGCAGCCCCGAGGGTTCCAGATGAAGAATTGGGACCTGTGTTATTTAGACCCTTCCATTATGCAGTTGTACAACTTAACTTGTGCACCATCCGTTTGCTGCGAAGGTCACCCAGAAGAACAAAATATTAAGCTGAAGGTGAAGACGCCCTCGTAAGACCCCCCCTCCCCCACGAGTCTCAGCCACTGGTCTGCAGCGGAATTTGAGCTGAGACCAGTGAAGCCCCCTGAGGCCCAGGAGAAGCCTCCGGCCCTGCCCGAGCCTGCTGCCCCTCCCTGGTCTCAAGTAAACCCATGTGTCTGCAGCATCTGGCTTTTTCCTAATCAAAGAATCAGTCACTACTTCCCCTTTTATGGCTGGAAGCACGTGGCTTGGGGGCTCCTGGCGTGTAGGTTTTGTCTACGTGGTGTCCTCGCCACTGAGTGCCGTCTTTGCTCAGGAGGGACGGAGCCCTCCCCCCTTCTCCTGGCGCCTCCGGCCGGGCCCTCAGCCCCAAAGTCACCCAAGTCACACCCGTTCCCCGCACGGTGGGGGCGCGGCCATCACTGTGGCTCTTCTCGCACTTTATTCAGTGGCCACGTCTCCCTTGGCTGACACCTGCGGCGCCCTTTTGCCGCTGGCCAGTCAGGGCCCGGGGCGAGGGCTCTGTCCCTGCTGGCCGACAAAGGGAGTGAGGCCTCGGGGCTTCAGTCACGGCCGTCGTGATCGAGCCGCAGAAACACTACCCAAGGGACTCAATGATTCTGTTTAAATAATAATTAAATGGTATTAAAACTGGCAGCGCGGAGAACAGGTAACAGGACTTTCTGAGAATCATCGCCGAGTGATAGCTTTGTGTTTTAGTGCTTTCAAACACTTCACAATTAGAAATGGGAATCCAACCTAACAAGAACAAACACATCACAACATGTCTCAGGGAAACGGGTGTCTGTGGAACCGGCAAAGGCTGCTGTTTATTCTCTCAAAGCGGCTTTTCCATCAAGTTTTAGTTCAGCAGCGGAGCAGGGACTGGGGGCGGCTTCCCCGGGCGGTTCTGGGCTCCTGGGGTCTCAGCGCAGCCGCCCGCGGAACTAGGGTGCGGTGCCCTCCCGCTGTCGCCTGGTGTTACTGCCCTGCAGGCCCCCAAAATCGGCTCCAAAGACTGGGGAGGACACTGGGGTGACTGCTGGCCTGGGAGTGTCGGGATTGCTTATTGAGTGCTGTTGCCCACCTTTATTTACGTGCAAGTCCCAGGGGTGGATTTTATTTTTAAAGATTTATTTATTTATTTATACAAGCACTGGGCACAGTCAGAAGCGCGGGAGGGTGAGAGAATTCACCAGAGCCAGAGCAGGGAACAGAACAGGCAGACTGACGAAGTACACTGCTGAGGGGAGCAGCGGGCGGCAGGAGAGGTCTGTCGAGCCATGTGGGACCCTCGCTGGCAGCTGGGGATCGAACTGGCGCTGCAGAGGCTGCGGGCAGCTTTGCAGCCTAGCGCTCAACCGCTGCGCCCCCAGGGGAGGCCCCCAGGGGTGGATTTTGAGGTGCAAGCCCATTAGCTGTGCTGGTCCCCGGCACAGGCTACAAGAGACCCCTTAGCTGAGAACGTGGGGCCGCTGACAGTGCAGAGGCCTCTGATGCAGACTGTGCAGGGTGAGGACAGAGCCAGGCCGCCACCAGGCCGCCACCTGGCTGTTAGCAGCAAGAGCCCGGGCGTTACCCTGCAGATGTCCCAACCCTGCAGAGTGTGTGGTCACCTTCTGGGGGCGGGAGAGCTCCGGGAGGGTGGGGTTTGCAGAGAGCTCAGCTTGGGCAAGTTATTTCCCTGATGTAGCGAGGACAAGACAGTCAAAGGGAGCAGGCAGAGTGGGACTTGGGGGCTTGGCTGCTGCAGTGAACCTGGGAAATGAGGGGAGATGAAGTTACCGGCGTCAGGGAGGGCGCCTCGGTCATCGTCCGCTCCGGCCAGCTGCGAGAGCGCGGGGTGGGACCCAGCGTCCCTGCTCTCCCCCTGCCGGGGCTCCCCCCGCTGGTCCAGGCGGCCCAGGGGCAGCACCTGGTGTGGGCCGAGCCTGCCTGTGCAGGCACAGCCGGGTGGCCGATGTTGACAGCTAATTACTTTTGTGTTGGTTGCAATTGAGTCTGTTGTTTAAAGCAACTCCAGAGGCCTCCACTGCTAAGATACTGTGTTTTGATTTACAAGACAAGTTAGAATATATTGTCGTATCTGTCCCGCAAGCTTCCTGTGGGGTAGGAATCAAGGACCGCCAGCCTCATTTTCAAAGGACGAAACAGCCTCTAGGAGAGTGGCCCGCAGGAGCCGCAGACGTTAGGCTTGAACTCAGCGTCTGCGGCGCAGCCCAGGACCATTTCTACGGACTTACAGCCGTGAACAATATTGGGCTGTTTATTCTCTTCTCCTAATAAAAATAAACGAGTGAATCTTTTTCACAACCTTAAACACTTGCCCTCAGTTAATCAGCTGACTGTGCGACATGAAACCAGGTGAGCGTTTGGTGAAGCATTTGACACCTGACTGACTTATTTAAGCTGCGGGCTGAGCAGTCTTGCACCCAAAACAGACTCCTCCACTTTTCCTGTAATGCTGGGGAATTTATCTCTGAGTGTAGCTGATCATGCCCAGGATTGGTATCGCATTTGGTAGAAGTAATTAATTTTATATTTGCGTATTTGGCTCAGACTTTGCCTGCACAACACCTGCGGGACCCGGGCAAGGTGAGGAGGATCCTCACGAGTGCTTTAGAGAAACGGAGCAGAGGGGGGCCCTCGGGCCGGGCTTGTCTTCTGTGCAGCTGTCACCACAGGAGTCACCTGTGGACAGAGCCGGGCGACAGGTGGGAGCTGGCCCCGAGAGCGTCGGCCTCCCCAGCTGTAAGGCGAGCTTTCTGCAAACTCCCGAGAGAACATTCCTCGTCTCGAAATTGTCTTCTGCTTCACTGTTCTTTCGTTTTAGAACTGGTGGCTTGAGTAGAACTGTTGGATTCGTGTGGACATGACGAGTGTTTTTTGCACGTTGTTTGAAAACTAGTGAGACAGAAGTTAGTCCTGATCCCCGCAAGGAGGACTTGGGTGCAGGAGTGATTTGTTCCTTTGTTCTACGCTCATTAAAATGGACACTTTCATTGGTGGCCGTGGTGCGCAGGCTGCTGATTCACTTTCTTTTCAATTTTTGTTCACTTTAATGCATTTGCATGGCAAAAGGATGGTGGCGAAGCAACAACCTCAGATTTCATTTTGGTGCAACCAACTATGTGCAACTCCGCGTGCTGTGATCGTTTAGACTTAGTGAATCATAGTGGACGACACACCATAAAAAACAGAGTAGTGTCGAAAGCTTGAGTCAAATGATGTTACTGTGTTAATTTTAGCAATGCATAGAAATAATATTAGTAATTT